TGCATTTTAATAACATAAACTTACAATATTAGTGACAATTTTAGGAAAAAATGGCGGCCATTTTGAAACTACTGGCAACCCCCCTTACGTATGAAAAAAAAAATGTTGCACATACTTTTTTGATTTATTAATGTCTATTCTACATCATATCCAATTTTTAAAAAATATAGCAAAAAAAAAATGCAACCTCTGATATTGCTACATTTCGGACTGGACTAGTTTAGTTCATATTATTTATTCAAGGCCTAGAGCTAGGCCTCCTAAGGGTAGATAGTAGCCTAGCCTAGCCTACCCTAGCCTACCCTACTGTAGGTCTCAGGTGTAGCAGGGTATCAGAGGCCAGGCTGACAGGCCTAATACTGGTAGAAAGAGGAGATAACTCAACTCGTCTCTGCAAATCCTTTTCCACGCATTGTCACATATTTTCTTTGCCCCCTTGTCACAGACCTAAACAAGAATAGCCTACTCTTCCACAGAGTTTGCATGAAACGGACTCGTCGGTCATCGTTCGCACACGCACCTGTACATTGTTTTGACAATGGTCGTGAATTTATTGTTGACCTTTGACATGAATTGAATCTAAGCCTTGCGATTGGTCCATCGGCCGCAAATTCGCTCGCGAATCCGAAAAAGTTGGTCTTGGATCAACTCTTGTGAATTCGCAGGCGAAGCCTCCGCGACCACCACGCGCACCGCGTCGAAGTTGGAATATTGGGTGTTCGCGTGTTCGACTACAAATTCGTTTGCATGTTCACATTGGAAACGCCAGTCGCGTCTTCGGTTCAGCCGCGCGCGCCACATTTCGACGCGAAATTCGCTTGATCGCGTTCAGTTGGAACCGGCCTTTATGCAGACACTCGGTAATGTGGCCTACATGTAGGGCTAGCCTAGGCCTAGCACCCTATGCATATATTATTATAGGCCAACACTACAGTAGGTTTAAGCTAGTTAGTACTTAGACAGTACAGATAGATAGGTTTTGGTTTAATTTTTCGAAAACAAAAATGCCTGATGCTAATTATTGATAATGATTCATCTGTTTTAATTTCAGTTTTGGGTCATCAAAAAATAAACTGCTACAGTATTACAATACAAGGTAAGTAGACCCAAATACGATGAATATATTATAAAGGCGCATCCATCTCAGTAGTTTAGTATTCATTGAATTTTAATGATTTACTCGTACCGTCTACATGTATTGATTGATAATTATGTTTTAATGTGTACAGCGCCCTGGTCTAATTTGAAAGGGCACATTATTATTGTTATTATTATTATTATTATTATTATTATTATTATTATTATTATTATTAAATTGTTATTTTAATTGCATTTGTTATACTTGTCATAATAAACAAAAAGTCTTTTTACTAAGCTTGTATATCCAGTGGCAGATTTAAAAAAAAGGGGTTGGGGCAGTGCAGCAAGTCCTTAATTGTTGAGGTTGTCTAGACCCTACCATCTTTAAAAATCATCATTGATTGGGCCCCCTCTGTTTTACATTGCTGGAAATCCAGATTTCGATAACCATAAATTAATTTAGTAGACGCTAGGTAGAGTATTACAGCCAAGGCCAATGTCGGTAATTTCCATACACAAACATACTTCTTTTCAGTCTATAAAAGCAATCGTACTGATTGATTAATTGTTTGGGACAACTAGTGTAAACCTATATCAGTAGCAGTAATGATGTCAAACTTGATAATTCTTCATTATTTTGAATACAATTGTTTGAACAGATTACTGGTAACTGAATTTTAAAGCAAGTCTCTGATGTCAGATATTTCTGTGTTACATGGACTCTAAATTGAACAAATCAAGGTATACAATAATTTAATAGACAATTATATTTCATATTACTACAAATTTTCATTGTAATTATATAAAAAAACATAATTATTCTGAATTTTCTACCCTTTGAATATAAATCATTTCCTGCCTTGAGCATTATGTGTGTAACATAGGAAATGAGTAGATCATCATATTAATTAACCTGAAATGCATAATATACACTAATTATTCAAGATATAGAATAATGATGATTTAGAATATAGTTCTGAATCATATTATGTATTTCCTGCTAGGCATATTCCTTTTATGATTCTTGAGTATATAATTACTGGGTGTATCTCTTTTATGCAGTTTGGAATACTGTATTTAAAAAAATTGTAATCGAAAATGCATAATTGAATCTCTTTATTATCTATTATTTATTCTTGATCAACTTATAATCCATATATTTTTAGCCCACTCTCTGAGAGAGAGGGCTTATATGATGATTCTGACCGAATTTTGAAGTTTTTTGTTTTTCTATCTCTTCCTTCGTTTGTGACGCGATTAGGCCGATCTTGCAATAATACGGAAGATAAGGCCTGGGGAATTTGAAGTATGATGAGTTTTTGCGAAAATATTGTCGGGAAATATGTGAAAAAGTATGTTTTTATATCATATTTCTTAACACTAAGGTGGGTTTCCTATGAAAGTGCGTTCGTCATTGATCAGATTGCAAATCGGCTGTATATTCCACATTGTGTTAATCAACCAATCACAGCCTGGAATGGTGAGATATGCAGCTAATAAATACGTCTGCACGAGTCTAGTTGGTAGCGAAGAATGAGCCGTTTTGTGGTGCTTGCAAGGGTGGGTGGTCTCTCCTCTGAGAGATAAAAAATGTACTGTAATGCAGACTGGCCTAGAGCTAGAGGAAGACGAACTATAGGCTGGCTGGGTAGTACGTGTGTGTAATAATCAGATAACAGGAAATGTAGGCTACAAGTTGCTTTTATGTGTATTAAACCACATAATATTAAAACTAGAAATTGCAAATTGCAAGTGAAGTGCTGCGAAGTACAACTGCATATAAATGTTCTTCAAACAAAATTATTTATGCGAGTCAAGTGAAAATATTGAATAATAAAACTATAACAAATAATATGAGACACGACCCATTGTCTATATTAGAACACTTCTCATTGGGTAACAAAGTCGTAATTTTTCATTTTTGTCAAAAGGTGTCTATAGTGTGGTGAATTATGGTTTAGGTTTCTTTTAATAAAGTTTAAAAAATGTCTATGTATGTGGAAAATGTAGTTGATTACCAAAGGTTACAATTTTTATTTTGAAGACTGCATGGTCTAGGAAGAGTACTGTACATTGTTTTATGGGGCATGTTTCCAAGGGCGGGTTTTCTAGGGGGGAGTTGACTGCTAAAGAGTGTTGCCAAAGTGCGAGCCAGCGTGTTATTTGATCAAAAGTGCGAGACATATCACAAGTGTGAGCCAGCGAGCCATGACGTCACGGCAATAGATAGAGACGTTAGCCAGTTGTGCGAGGTATCGGGTGAGATTTGTGGAGCAATTAAAAAAACAACTATAGGTCTAATAATGAATTATTGTGATGTTAAATAGACAATGTTAGCTATCAAAGAGCGACGTTGTTTTTCATTGGGACCGTCGCCCCTTCAAGGCTAGGCCTATACCATCCTAGCTAGTCAAGGCCTAGAGTAGGATAAGGCTAGCGCGACATGCGGATGTTGGTACGAGTAGGTTAGTCTACAAACGTCGCCTAAAGTAATTGATTTTACCCGGCAGAACGAAAGAAGAAAACTCCGCTTTTCAGTCGTCTTAGGCACTCGTTTTTTTGACAAACAATGACCTTTCAGAGGTCAAATTGCTGTCAAGAATATGAATTGGCTGCTTCGCAGCAATTAGTTAGTAGCGATGAGTGTATGTGTGCAGCACATTTCGTGTCAACTGTAATGCAGGCTGGACTGACGAAGATGAATAGGCTGGCTGGGTAGGTACGTACGTGTGTGTAGGCCATGCCCAGTCTAGATCAGATACTACAGGAAATAAATTTAGGCTACAAGTTGCTTTTATGTTTTTAATAAACCACACATTCAAATCAGTCAGTAGGGATGAGTGTATGTAAGCACATTTCGTGTTGCCGCACTTTGGTGTGGTTGATGACGAGGACGTTGCCGTTAGATACATGATAGCAAGGTCCCACATGGAATTTTTGTTCTATTGAGACGGTAGCCTTTCAGCATTTTCCTCTAGGATGATTTTCGTTTACATATGAATTTTTTAGCATTTCGTACTGTACACTTGGCTATCCGTAGCCAACCACATAGGCCTAGGTACGTAATATATTAGATCAGATGTTAATTACATAAAATGTAGGCCGACAGTCGTATTTATTGGGGGACGGAGTGGATTTCTTTTTTCGCGATTTACCATGGGATGGCTACTGTCATCGTTAACTAGACTTGTAGTAGACGCTGTTGTCCCTATGGTAATGATGAAGATCGTTCGTGTACCTATTGACTGATGAGGCATGATTAAAAGTGCCCTTCATTTTCAATGGATTACATTCCATTCCAACCATGGTACAACCAGTCGATGGATAGCCCAGTAATGAGATATTTTGCTCCATTTATTTAAAATTAAATTATTAAAACATTGCCTATAATCTAGTAATGTACTAATATATTGTTTATTCTAGTAATGTATATATTTAAAAACATATTGGGCAAGTATTTATACTACTTACAGGTGTATATATATATATATATATATATATATATATACA